TTGCAGTGCAGACCTCTACCCATTATGCATGTAGCCTATTTCATTTACACTATCTACCTACTACATATTGAGAGATTTCAGATTAAAAAAGGATATTAATTTAGGTGGAGTTTTGAATTTAACATCTTGTGTGGAGACTGCATAAGTCATGACTCTTAAACTAATTATCTGAATTATGTTGAATTACAATAAACTTGCATCTTCTAAAAAAGACGAAATGCTCATGCTTAAACCACATTCAGTTGTCTTTGTCATCTTATTTCTTGCAATTTTATTATATTTTTTTGATATTTTCACCAAGATGATAAAAGTTGACACTCACTCAAGATGCTTTTCAAAGACAATGCCACACCACCTTAACAAGATAGCAAAGCCAAGCAAACATAATTAATCGAGAGACTTCATGTTATATTGGAAATCTATAAATAGAAAAATTATATCTCAATCTTTTCTCTAGATTTTTATGCATGTGATGTGAGTCCACTTAATTAGTTATTTGAAAAAAAGGGTGTAACTTGAAATCCCCTCAATTAGGACCCAAAACCTGGTTGCTTTCAATTAACACTAGCAAATGTGGAACCAAATTGGAGAGTACCAAGACTCACAACGATTAAAATACTCATAATCATTAATTATATCTCAAAATTTTAATTAAAATTTTCATATAATTCAACGGTTATAAATAAATTAAAATAAGAGAGTAGAAAAATTTGAAGACAAGAATCTTGATCAATAAAAGTCATAATAAATAGTAAACTCCCTCGTTTGGGAACCCTTCTTTTTAGCCAAAAAGTCAAAAAGTTATTAAATTAACCAAAAAGCCAACCACTCATACAAAAAAGTCAAAGATTCTCTTTCTCTCTACTTTTTGCACATCTTTTCGTAAAAATTCAAAAAGTCATCCCAAACATACTAGTTTTTTTTAACTTATATTTTAGCCAAATAGCCAAAAAGTTATTGAATTAGGCCTTGTTTGGGAACAAGCTAATTTAGTAATTTTTTGGCTATTTGACTAAAATATGAGCTAAAAAAAACTAGTATGTTTGGGATGACTTTTTGACTTTTTACGAAAAAATGTGCAAAAAGTAGAGAGAAAAGAGAATCTTTGACTTTTTGGTATGAGTTATTGATTTTTTGACTAATTTAGTAACTTTTTGATTTTTTGACTAAAAATGCGAGTTTCCAAACGAGACCTTAGTTTGTTCCCAAACGAGGCCTTATATAAATCACAATAAATCATAACTCAATAACCTCATATGCTAAAGTTGGTGTATGATTTTATTCACCAAGATGGATTCTGTCAAAGATGGGATTAGTAAATGAAAATCCACTCAGATTTTATCTTTATGAGATTATCAATTGCGTCTTAGGGACGTCTTTAGAGTATACCAAATGAGTAAAATTATCTATTTTTAACAGAGCGCTGCAATTTCAACTAGTGTGGAGGAAAAGTGAGAACAGTTTTTTCTTCTTTTATTGTTTCTTGTCAATGCAAAATCATGTGCCATTGAACACAAAATCATATTCTCATAATTCACTTAAATGCAAAATCTAAAAATATAAAAAGTTATAATTGACAGTGGACGATTTTATTCGCTAACATGTCACTCGAGTGAATAAAATAAACTTCATCTAATGGTACTTATGTCAATGTCATACTTAAAAGCAATGTTAAAGGGGTCTAAAACTTTCTATCTTCTAAATTTATTCATATTGATGTGAAAAAAAAAAAAAAAAATCTTAATTGATTGATTTTTAAATAAATTAATAACTAACATACATCCACATTAAAAGTCAATTCAAAAGTGATGTTTTAAGCATCTTAAACATTTTTTTGGGACCATTCAATCAATCAGTGACAACAATATGCAGAAAAAGGATGAGTAGTGGGAATAAGGTTACCTCCTCTCCTTTTAGCATCTTTTTGAAAATCATTTCCCATCTGGTTCTTTCTATCTTTAACATCTCTTACAAATTCAGGGGGAAAAAAAAACAAAAAAAACAGGAAGGCAAATTGAAAATTCCCATTCTAGAAAAGTAAGTTTAAAGGAGTATTAAAGGAAAATTGCATTATTAAGGGAGTTGTGTTGTGTTATAGATTTCATATTAAGGCACCGTTTGGGAAGTAAGTTTATGGACTTTTTTGGCTATTTTAGCCACAAAAGACAAAATAGGCTATTTAGCCACAACAAACAAAACATCATATCCAACCCATAATCATTACACTCTTCTCTCACAAAAAAAGTCAAAAAAGCCAAAAAGCCCTTTCCAAACCAAGCTTTTTAGCCCAGGCTAAAATAGTCAAAAAAGCCAAAAAGCCAAAAAGCCAACCCACTTCCCAAACGGAGGCTAAATTGTGGATAAAGTACACTGATTATCCTTGAGATTTTAAAAAATATGGTAAGCTTCACTAAATTCTGTTATGATTTTAATTCACATAATATTTTACTCTCATTTTCGTCAGAAATTCATTAATCATATGAATAATAAAATAATGTTGTAATCTTTTTTATATTAAAATGTATATTTTAGCTTGTGTGTTTTTGTGTTTTCATACAAACTGCATTAGTTCTGATTCTTTAATCATATTAAAATAGAAGTTAATATAATTATATCAAAATTTTAGACTTCTTGTATCTTTTTTTAGATCTTAAAATAAATCGGTGTAATTTCTCCTAAAATTTTTACCACTAGACACTTTAGTAGTGAGTCCACATTAAAAATACATATAAAGTTCATGTCTATATGACTAAGGCTAAAGTTTGGGATACTTAAAAAAAGTTAAAAAGCTAAAAAGTTACTCAAAAAGTTAAAAAGTTAACACTATTCACCAAAAGTCAACAGTTACGGCTGCACAACTTCCAATCTTAATTTTCCTCTACAAATCAATATTTACAATTTTTTATTACACATTTTTTCATAAAAAGCCAAAAAATTAACCCAAACATTCATATTTTTTCCCTCAACTTTTTAGTTTAAAAAGGACAAAAAATACATTTATTTAAGACACTCCAAACAACCCCTAATAGTAAAAAAATCAGATAGACAATTCGTATATATATATATAATACTTTTCGTAGTAAAGTGAAGTGTTAGGCCTCTTTGTGAATCAAACCTTGAAATAAAATCGTGAATCTTACGACAAACATGCATCATCATGTTCTGTAAAACCAAACACTAAAAAGAAATAATACCTAGTAGGCATTTTACCTATCTAAATATTACTATAAAATATATATTTTATTTTGCCTATCAATTGTTTTATGTTTTTACTCCAACCATGCTCTTTATTTTAACTATTTATCCAAATACTATTAATTTTATAGAATGCCACGTCAACAACAAAGATGGAGGGAAATGATCCTAATGATTGAATACATTTTGCCTAGCGTTGAAGGCTAGCTACATGTAGCTAGTGAATATGAGTTGAGCCAAAATGCCTAATCATATGCCTAGTGCATTGGAATTGAAAAAAATGAATCACACTAGACATTTTAACTAACAAGTATTATATGCCTAGTGCATTGGAGATGCTCGACGAGTCTGGTAGAAAGATTTTTTATAATTTTATTAGTTATTTTAATTAAATTGATAGTATAACTAGTTTGAAAGCATTGCATACAAGAAATACATGTGATCATGTGGCTTTTGAAAGCATTGAAATAATAATGACAATAATTTGTTTAGTTAAAGGCAATTTTCCAAGGCAAAAATGGAGTATGGATTTTTTAAATTGCTTTTTTTAAAAAATAATTTCCTAGTGATTTAATATTAAAATTTTAAAAATATAAAATGAAGTTAGAGAAATTTTTTGAGCCTTAAGATAGTATTAAAAAAATTATATTTTCGTATGAACTTAGAATTTAACATTGTAATTTTTTTACAAAATTTACTAAATACTGGTGCTAGTAAAGATATAAAATTTATTTTAAAAAATTAATAAAATATCTCAAAAAATCATATATTATAAACAACAATTAAGTTTAAGATCTTTTAAAAAAAAAAATATCCCGCATCAGCACCATATCATCAAAACCTCATCATTTAGACAAAGTTCCACCACCTATTTCTCAAGCACCTAACATCACTCGAGTACTTTAGCCTCCGTTTGAGCAGTGGGTTGACTTTTTGGCTTTTTTAGCTATTTTAGTCTGGGCTTAAAAGCTTGATTTGGGAAGAATTTTTTGACTTTTTAGCTTTTTTAGCTATTTTAGTCTGGGCTTAAAAGCTTGATTTGGGAAGAATTTTTTGACTTTTTAGCTTTTTTAGCTATTTTAGTCTGGGCTTAAAAGCTTGATTTGGGAAGAATTTTTTGACTTTTTAGCTTTTTTAGCTATTTTAGTCTGGGCTTAAAAGCTTGGTTTGGGAAGAACTTTTTGACTTTTTAGCTTTTTTGAGTTTTTTTGTGAGAGAAAAATGTAATGATTATGGATTGAATGTGATGTTTTGTTTGTTATGACTAAAATAACCTATTTTATCTTTTGTGGCTAAAATAGCCAAAAAAGCCAAAAAGCCAAAAAGCCAACCCACTTCCCAAACAGAGGCA